GCTGAAATATATCTCTTTTTTATCTCTCTGCTACTTTTTTATTGAATCTTTCTGAGTAGGTGGCTTTCCGCAGGATGACAGCCTCATGACAGGCTCCTCATTAGAGCTGAGACAGTAATTGTGATGCATTTCCCTGCGCGGCCTTTTCACTTCTCCCCCCCCTCCTTCCTTTCCTCCTCTCTCCTTTTCCCCTGATTTGTAAAGTGATTGGATGTACAGACTCACTCAGTTTCTTAAATTATTGCCCGGCTCCATCCATCTTTCTCCATCCCGCGGTGGGCAGCCACGTTCCCAGCAGACGAGCATCCAGGGGGGAGGTGGCTTTTGGGGTGGAATCCTGGGATTCTGGGGATGTCCCCAGGAGCCCCCCAGAAGCATGGTGCCCATGAGGACAGGACTGTGCCTCCCTTCCAAGGGCCATCCCTGCGGTGTCACATGGAACAGCTCCCACCAGGTGTCTGGCAGCAGCGCTGTGCAGCGTTGCAGTGTCCAGCTCACAGCTGCAAGAGCCTCTCTTTTCTTCAGAAGGAAATCAATATTTCAGCAAGTTTTCAGCCTTGGATCCTGCCTTAGATTTTTGCTTAGCCTCGGGAGAAGCAGGTGTATTTGCTAAGCTGCTCAGCTGCCCAGCCCCTTACCAGGGATCAGACCCTTCAGGGGCTGTTTGGCTCTGTGCTGCACCCCGTTTGCTCATGGGGTCTCTCTGTCCATCTGTGTTCTCCTATCTCCTCCGCACAAACCCCTGTCCTTCTCTCTGGAGTTCATGGCAGGAATGGTCCCATGCCATGTGCTGTCCAAAAAACCCAGGTACCTGGTATGGCTCAGAGAGGTGACTCCTGTGTGGCAAGGAGATGCACAGTTCTCCCCACGCTCCCTCCCTATATGACCAAGTCATTTTTCCTCCCAAAGCCACTCTGTTGCTGTCACCGGTGCTCTTTGCTGACCCAATCCACCCCCACCTTCATCACTACTGCTGTCATCTTCCCCTTCACCGCCACTTGCTGTCATGCCATCGGATGCCATGCAGGCTCGCCGGAGAGGAGCAGGCTTTTGGCTATTTCCAAGCTAATATGGGGCTTTCTTTGAATTATTGTTTTTTGAGCTGGAAGGAAAGGAAGCTTGTCACACGAGATATCTGCTATCAGTACACAAATAACAGCCGGCCCATCATGGAATGGAAAATAATCGCCATGGAAGCTGAGCAGAGGGGGAGCCAGGAGGGATTATTATAGCAGTGGGGCTGTCAAGAAGCCTGTGTCAGCACTTCCATTACCACCCACCTGGCTCCTACATGGCCCCAGAGCAGTGTGCGGGGCCCCAGCGCGGGGTCATTGCTATTCAGGAGGGTTTCAGATCAACCAGCTGTGATGGGTGTTAAATGATGGAGTGGTTAAGAGGGAGAGAGAAAATGGGAGGATGAAATGGAGAGAGGCGTCTCCAAGGAAGGAGAGCTGTGGACTCAGACAAGTGGAAAACAGTCTGAGATATTGGGAAATGAAGAGTTGGGAGGACAGGTCTGGTGCTCCTGGGGGCAAGGCAGGGAATGGGAAAGTTTTGGATGCCCATGAGGAAGGACAGGGCAGTGAGAAGATGCTCTGGGACGTAGGCAGGTGGCCTAGGGAAGGGCCTTAGTGGAAGACAAAGCATATCCTCAACAGCAAGTGCGTCATGAGCGTCTCCTGATCTAGGGTCTGTTTGTCCTCTGCCAAGGCTGGGAGCCATTCACACACAGATGCCCTCTGATGGAACCCATGCAGAAATTCCTCCACGCAGGGGTGCGTCTGCATGTCAAGCGTTCGGCTTTAGGAGCCGGAAATATTTGGTTTCAACACTTGGATTTCAACATTTCCACGGAGCCCAGGAGACTGTGCAAGCAGCAGGAGCTGCAGATCTGCCTTTTCATCTCTCTGGCACTGGCAAGCAGGGGCTTGGCGGGGGGAGTGCAGCAGAGCCGGGGAGGGTAAACATGTGGAACCAGAGAGCGGTGAGGAGAGAGAGGGGCAGGAAAACAAAAACACAGCTGCCAAAAAGAGAAGCCTGAAAAGAGCCATTCAGGGTCTCCCAGGAGAAGTCTTGGCACAGGGCAGGGCAGGGAGCACTTGCTGCTGGAGCAGGCAGCTTGGGGCCTGCATCTTTCATTTCACCACGGTCAGATGCCCTCTGGTCCAGCTGCACGCACAACACAGTGTCCTTGGCTGTTCCTAAATATCAGGATGCCCAGCACCAGAGAGTGATGCACGGAGTGTTCACATCTCCCTCTGTCTCTGCACTGACAACTGAAACCTGAACACTCCAGATTGCCATTCCACCACCCAGCACCACCAGCATGGAGCAGGGTGCCATGGGATGGGCAGCATGAGCAAGTGTGGGGCCATGGGGCAGAGCTGAGATGGGTTGTGTAGGTGTCCTGCTGGCATGGAGCCATCCCCTCCCCTCTGCTGTCACTGTTACTTAGCCTAGTGCCTGCTAAAGTGCGGCTGTCAACCCTTGGGCCAGGAGCCGGTGCTCCTCTGTCTCCCACTTTAAGCACGAATGTGGCAGGCTGTGTGTCAGGGTCTTGGCTGCATGGCTAGAGCCCAGATCTCCTGCCCCTCTTGAAGCCCTTCCTGTAGCCTGAGCTCCAGCCTCCCACGCTTGCTGGAGTCAAAGGACCTTGCCTTGCTATCACAACACCAAGCAGATGCAGGGTGACAGCTGACGTGACACAGAGCCATTGCAATATCATTTGTGTAGGTGGTAGAGAAGGCCATTGATGCTTATTTCTCCTGCAGTGGAATGCAGTGAAGGTCCTTCCTATAGTCTGAGATCCCCCCCCCCCAGTTACCCCAGATGTTGAAATCTGAAATCATCTGCTTAGGAACACTTGCCCATCAAAGATCCCTAAACAGTAAGCAGGAGTCCAGCAGCAGGCTCCCAAGTGGAATCCTGGCTGCACATCCCTATCCAAGGCGCCTCCTACCGCTGCCACTGTGCTCCAGGACTGTCCACCATCTCACAGCAATCACGCGAGAGAATACCACAGACACCTGCAGGTCAACCTCTAAGAGCATCCCCATCCCACCAGTGCAAACTGTGGGTGGTAGGGGAGGATGGGAGGGCCCTGTGGTGATGGCTGGGACAGGGAGTATGGATTCAGGGTAGGAGGACAGAGGGCAGCCACTTCCCTATCCATCTGCACACACCGCAGCTGGAATCCAGCAGGATTTCCCGTCCACTCAAAGGCTGCCTGTTTATTTTGGGAAGGAGGCTCAGACAGCTCCATTGTTTTGCTGTGAAGCTGGGGTTATAAATAGCAGGTGGTCGGGGACGCTCCTGGGCTATTTCAGCCCCTGCTACACAAAAGTGGAAAAGCTCCAGCAGGAAGGTGGAATTACTGAAATGCCGACCTTTCCCGCAAGGGTCAGCAGGAGCTGCTTCTTTGGTTTTGGTGATTTCTGGGCATTATTGAAGAGAGGGAGATGCACCAGCTGCACAGCAGCATATTTCATCCTCCCTTCTCCAGCAGGCATTAGGGATGCAGAGCCAAGGGATGTGCCTTGGGAGCAACTCAAGTCCAACTTGGGCTTTTCCTCTTGGGCCTGCACGTGGGAGAGCTCCCAATGGACAGAGGTGCTGGAGAGGCAGGGGAAGGTCCATGTCACTGAGCTCTGTTCCGTGCCTCAGTTTCCCTCTTTAGGGAGGCCAAAGAAGAGGGCTCTGCCAGGCACGTGCACTATGTACAGCTGGAAGGCAAGGATGAGCCAAGGTGACTCCAACTCATCTCACACTCTTCCTCTCGTTAAATGCCTGCACCAGGCACTTACAGAGAGCAGCAGGGCCCCAGTAAAGCTGCTCACACCAATGTTTTATACTTCAAGAAGGTCTATTCCTTTAATGGGGATTCATTTAACTGGGCTCTGCCATCGTTAGGAGCCATAAAATGGCACCTTTTGGCTTCTGATTGGAAGGCCACGCTGCACGTAGCCCCTCACATCCAGTGCTGGCTGCTTTATTGTGCATTACTGCCTCTCACTCGGATTTAACCAATTTGATCCATGTCTAATACATAAATAAATAATCCAGCAGGAGGGTCGGCGTTGGATGACAACAGGCAGCTATAAAGCATGTTCCTCTGCCACAGCTGAGCCAGGCTCCGCACGCCCTCTCATGAGCAGAGTTGCTAATACAGCTGGGAGAGGGGTGCGGGCACCCCTGAGCTTTCCCCTTTTATTGAAACTTCATTGTTTGCTTTCGAGTTTTATTTTATGTTAAATAAGCACTCTATATTCCTTACAGAGGAGGTAATAAAGTTTCCAAGCTGAAGGAAATTGGCTATGGAGTGGGGAAACCTGGCAGAGCTGGAGACGAGGAGGGTGGTGGTTGGGGATGAAGAAGGGGACAGCTGTGCCTGCATCTGGGGGCGAACAGCTCTGCTCTTCGGGGTCCTGACCCCCAGCTTCAGGGACATCACAGAGAATTTAAATACTTCCTCTAAATTAGTTAAGAACAGAGAGAAATGGTCTGGCATTTGGCTCTGAGCTGCGTTGTCTGCTCTGGAAACAGGGGAAGCCAAGGCAACAGAGGAGCAGCCCAGAAATGGGACTGCTCATAGAATCATAGAATCACAGAGTCATTAAGGTAGGAAAAGACTGCTAAGGTCACCTAACCCAACTGCTGACCATCACCACTACGACCACTAACCACGACTCTCAATGCTAGTTCCTTCCCCTGCAAAGTCACCGGGATGCCCTCATGCCCATCTGCAGGACAGAGCTAGTAACTGCCTGAAGGAGCACGAGAACTGGGGAGAAATGGGGGCACTCCAGAAGAAAACTGGATTCCAGACCATGCCAGTCCCCTCTGTGTCTGCTGCTTAGAAGCAGAAGGGATGATAAAATCTGCCCTAAAGCTGTGCCCAAACCAAATGGAGCTCGGAGCAGGAAATGCTGCTTTTGGCCACTGCTCCAGGACTGAGGCTGCACAGGAGCTAAAGCTTTATCCCCTCTTTTCCTTCCCCACAGGCAAAAAGAAAGCGACATTGTTTGACAGCCAGGCTCCCATCTGCCCCATCTGCCAGGTTCTCCTACGCCCTGGAGAGCTGCAGGAGCACATGGAGCAGGAGCTGGAGAAGCTCACCCAGCTGAACATCAGGTAAGCAGCCTGTGATCATAGAATCATAGAATGGCTTAGGTTGGAAGAGACCTTAAAGATCATCTTGTTCCAAACTCCCTGCCACGGGCAGGATTGCCAACCACTAGATCAGGCTGCCCAGAGCCCCATCCAGCCATAGCAGAGGAGAAAACGACATGCAAGCAAGGAAAAACAGCGAGAGCTGGTACTTGCAGCATGGCCCCATATTGGCTGCATGGGTGCTGTGACACCTGGGGTGCATCCTGCAATGGAGCAGGGCAGGAGCTGCCTTCTGCTCCTGATGCTTTCCCCTGCATGGCCAAGTCCTCCTTTTATTAAAAATAATAATAATAATAATAATTGCATTTTAACTGCTAGCAGTTATTTAGGAAATGGCTGCAGCCAAGGGTTGTCAGATCCCTGCCCCTGCCTTAATAAAACTCAGCAGCCTTGGAAAAGAGCATGTTTATTTCAATTATTAATTAATTCCCCGGTCATTAAAAGGTGAGGAAAGGAATCATACCACCAGTGAAAAGCTGAGTTACGTCACCAGGTGGTAGAAGAGAAGGGAGGGCTCCTGTACCAATGTGTGTGTGCACACCAGGGCAGGGGGCTTCCCATGGCTATGGGGAGTGTGGAAGAACCTGCCCCAGCTTGGCTGGGCTCTGCCTTGCAGCAAGCCAGAAATGCTCAGAAGAGGGAGAAGCAGAGAGGTCCGAGGGAGCACCCACACAGCATCATGTTGGATCCTGGCACCACACAGGGAAAGAGGGGGCAGGGAAGAGCCCATTTATCCCCCGCGCCACCCGCTCCCCTCGCGAGCGTAATTTATGGCGTCATTTGGGCCGCATCCAACTTAATAAAGGGCCACTGCAAATTAGTGAACAGGTTTAAATGAACAGAAGCAATTAGCGCTCCGAGGAGCCCATCAAAGAAGTTGGGCCAATATCAGAGCAAAACTGAAAGCGCGAGCCAGGCGCGGAGGACGGCTGGCGCGAGGCGGTGATGGGAAGGTGGCGTTTAATGGGAAAGGAAAGGAAACCCTAAATCATAAAGCGTGACAAGGGCCATTGTGGGCCAGCTGACAAATGAAAAAGAATGGCATTATTCGTTTAAATAACAGCAGCAGTTAGAGAGAAGACAGCTCTCCCCAGCTTGCCCTCGCTTCTCTCGCCCGCTCCGCTCGGCCATGCAGGCGGTGGCAAAGAATCAGAGGTCTTGATTAATTATTAAATAACGACTCTCTGCGCTTCGTGATAGATAAGGCTCAATCCAGGCTGCGGGCCGTGACTCAGCACAGGGATAGGCTGCCCACTGCAGCAATGGGCAGGATGAAGGTGGTGGGATGCTGGGCTCCATCCCTCAGGTGGCCCCTTCTCCTGCTGCCCCAGCTCTCGCCGGGAGCAAGAACACATCAACAAGAGGAGAGAGAAACTAATAATGATCTCAAATAACCCAATAAACATAAAAATAAAATGTAGGCCTATAAACGTGACGGGCACCGGCAGCCCTGGCCGCTCCCTGCCAATGCTGACTCGTTACCGAAATGGCTGAGCAGCTGTTACTTATCAGTCTGATGGGGAGAAGCGAACCAAGGGGCTGCTTTCCAAGGGCCCTTTTTTTCTAGATTTAAAGAGGATGTAGCCAATCGTGGTGCGTGCTGTTAAGTTTTAATAAACCTTAATGATTTGCAACCAAATCATCAATTTCCAGCACTAGGGGTTAGGAAGGCAGATTCCCTCCTACCTGCTGTGCCTGCAGCACTGGGGACTCACAGCTCCAGGGATGCTGCACAGAGTGGCAACCCCCAAGGCAGAATGGCCATTGGGTTGCATTGGGTGCAAGCAAGATGCAAGGCTGCCCTGGGGCCAGATGGAAAGGGAAAAGGCTGGTAGCAAAGCAATTTGAGGGCTGCCTTGCGCTGTTGTCTCCATTTTGGGGGTTTCAGGGGCATTGCTGGAGCACACGCTGGAGCTCCAGCAACGGTGGAAGAGAAGGAAGGGAATTCCTCCAGGCTGGAGCTGCAGTAGGAGAGAAGTGTAGACCTACCCAAGCGCTGCCCATCCACCCACCTGAGGTGCTGCACACCAAGCTACAGGAATGCTTTTGCTGTCCCTGGGACACAGGGGCAGCCCTTGGCATGGGCAGCACCAGCACGGCGGGCACCACCCGGCTGAGCCCCGCACGGCTCGGCCAGGCTCTCTGAATGCAAATTTCATTTCTGAGCCACTGGCGCTGTTTCAAGAGCGGCAGCCTCCCAGCCCTTCTCGGTGTTACATATGTAACAGCCTCATTGAACTTGACATGTCAAATTCAGGCCATTTGTGCAAAATCTCCCTTTAATAATACCGTTTCATTTCGCTCAAATGAGACTTGAATGCATGTAAAATGGAAAAGGATATTTAAGCGCTAACATTAGGCAGATGTCTTGCCAGAGGCCGATTGAATATATGAGATTTTGAAGTGCTTAACACGTTTTCGGTGCTCCCTCTTAGAATATGTCACCTGGCTTTCTTTTTTCTCCCCCTCCTTCCTTTTACCCCCCCTCCCCATTCTTTAAGTGAAGGGTATAAATTGAAAGAAAACAAAACTACAAGCCTCGGTTTTATGGGGTTTAACTCTTGCGGAGCGAGACTGTTGGTATTCCTCCTCCTAAGAGGAATTACCTCCTGGCTCACCTTGATGGAGCGCGAGCATAGCACAGCAGAGAAGTGGTGATGGGAGGGATGCAGTGAGGGGAGGGATGCTCTGCTCACTGCATCCATGCAATGGGGAGAGCAGAGGTATTGGTCCCTAACTGAGCAGCTAAGTAACACCAAGCTAAAAAATAAGAAATAATGACAGCAACTCTCTGCACACATCACCCCAAATATGTGAATACTCATGTGCATGAAGCCTGGATGCAGGTCTTCTTGATTCACATCCACCTGTTTTATTCCTCATGCAAGCACCTATAGGTGGAGAAGAGAGGCAGCTTTGGGGTTATGATTTGGGTTTGAGGTGGGAGGGCCACTGGGGATTCAAAAAGCCTAAGAAAGTCACATTACAAATATTACAGTTGCTGAGTCAACCGCTGGAAGACTGGGAAATGTGCCTTTGGGTGCATTCTTTTTCAATAGCCTGATGCGCTGTTATTGAAAATGCAATGCTCTTTTAAAAATGTATTTGGCAGGGGGATTTTTATTTCCCTGCATGGCAACTAGCAGGTTCCTCCTTGCATGGCCAGCAGCAAAGTTGTGCTTCAGATCTGTGATTTCCCCTACCCATTTCCACCACTCACTGCCCCTGGCAGCTCTCCTTGCACCTTTTCACCACACTGTATCCACAGGTGACATCCCTGTATGCACCTCAGGAGCTCCTGATTCCTCTGGTGAACTTTCTGGCATGTCCAGGAGTAATTTCTCTTCTGATTCTCTTGAAAGAGCCAAATGTGATCCCAGGCTATGGGACCTGGGGACAGGTCAACCCGCTTCCACACAAGTCAGTGTCTCTGAGAGACGTCTCCAAGCACCAGGAGATGCAGCCTGGATTTCACTAAAGTTTGGTGGCCTTTTTGATTAAAGTCACCCTATGCCAACACCTGAGGGCGTACGTGACCACATGCCAGCAGTTTTCAGTGTTCCTCCTGGGCAGGTGGGATGCACCCAAGCAGTTCTTACTGGCTCTTGACCCTACTCATGCACAGGGAACCTTGTGCTTGTGTTCTGCTGCTCCGGATGCACTGAGCACCATGCCACGCAACAGGGCCTTCCCCAAATGGCACAGGGAGGGATGAGCAGCCATACTGCCAGGCCCAGCAGGATGAATAGAGAGCATAAAACCCGAATTAGCTCTGTTGCCATGTGTCACAGCACGGTCATGGCTCTCGCCCCACGTCTCTTCGATTTATGCTGCAGGCTTTACCCTGACAGCCAGGTATCTTGTTCAGTGAGCACCGCAGATCCGCCAGTGTCTGAATAGGGAAGATGGTATGCACTTTGTGCTGAGAGGGACTTCTTTCCCAAAGCCCCATTGAACTGCATACTGCATCTCTTCCTTACATCTAGTGGCCACCTGGGAGCACCGGGCCAAGAGAGATGGCAGCCAGGAAAAAGCACGCTAAGCCCACGGGCATTTCCCTCCCCCTCCTCAACTTCTGCTGCTCTTCCTGCTTTTCCCCTCTTCTTTTTCCACCTCCTCCTTCTCCTTTCCCTCCTGCTCCCCCTCTGTGTCCTCCTCCCTCTCTCCCCACCCCCCGGTATCAAGGCGACATCTCCAAGCCAAGTACTTTTAATTTCGCCCGTGGCCCTTGCTGACACGGTGGATATGCACAGCAAGTTAAATTCCCGCCTGATCAATAAAGCAGAAGCAGTGTGTCCGACTGGTCGATATTTTTTTATCTGTCTTCAGCCCAGTCCTGCTGATGACAGCCCCCTGCGCTTCAGCAAAGGCACTCAAGGGCATCGGGCTTTGGCAACACAGCTCTTTCTTTTTTTTTTTT